GAAGGCAAACACATGCTAAACAGCAAATTATTCATAAGAAAGGCGTAGCGAAACAAAAAACAATGCAGTGTTTCCGCAGTCCTGAGAAATGTTTTTGGTCAGATGTGTCACGTTCATGATCTGTAATCAGCGAGTGGTTCGTGTGTAATACATGAACATGAATATTACACACAAACTCATACTTGGAATTTGTAAGTTGGCTGAAACACTGAAAGGTGATAAAACAAATACAATCACACACTTCACATTTGAATTTTAAGGTCAGTTTCATCATATACAGTGCTGTGCAAATTTTAAACATATCAAAATGTGAATGTTTTTAGAAATGACATTGAAATCTGACATTTTATCAATTAACTTTGCATAAAGTGCACTAAGCAGAAAAAAAGTTTCAAATTAATACTGATTATGACCACCATTTTCCTTTAAAAAGCACAAATTCTTATGGGTGCACTTACCATTGCTTATCAGGGTACTCTTTTTTTTCTTTCTCCCAGCCATTTTGAATGTGTGGTCACAATTCTTCTTTGCATTTAGGCTGGTCTCAGTTGTTTCCATCGCTTGTTGCTATCTTAGACTGATATAAATACAGTATAATTAGACAAGAGATCTCTGTGGGCCATAGCATCTTGCAGAACTCCTTGTAGTTCTTGTCACTGAAGTTCTTTATGACTCTGTGTGAATGTTTGGGGATATCCATTGCCTTGTCCATCCATACATCCATCTTCTTAACTGTCTATTCCAGCTAGCATGGGCCAAAAAACTGAATACAGAATGGGCTTATGGCCAGTTGATATTCTTGTATAATGGATAAAGAATATAAGCATCAAATGTGCTTAAAACCTTTGCACAGTACTGTACATGACAGAAAAGATTTTGTAAACACTAAAATACGATTCATCAGTATTAATGTATTTGTTTATTGCTTAGTCAGTGAGGCCCAGCACTGCGAACCTATTAACGAGCCAATTCACACAGATTATTCCAAACTATATAATACGTGGCCCGTCAATAAATAACCAACATAAAAATTACAAAAAAGCATAATGAAATACAATAAATAAATAAATAAATATTAATAAATAATCATAAATAAATAGCTGATATATGAAATAAAGTTAAGGGTTTGCCTTCAAACTGCATTTGTAGTATTTCGGTCTTAGCCTGATTACCAAACAGTGCCTTCGCTCATTTCTGAAGAGGGCTGTGACAGCTGGTTGGTGTATCCGTTGTCACTGAGAGAAACAGTGGTGAAGGGCGTGCTGGGGCCACACATTTCACTGGAGATGCTGTGAATTGAACTTGGTCCATTGGGCTCCGGACTTGGTGAGTCCACGGGATGATGAGATAATGTATCAGAGAAACACTGAACCTCTCCGGGACAGTGGTGCCCAGGATGATGGTGGTCCATGGCTCCTAGTGGGGTGCCAGCCGGGACTGTGGAGGGCACAAAGCCCAGGTCTGCTGGAGTCTGTGCTTGCGATAATGGTGGGCCTTGAAAGTACTCATAATTCCCTCCTGAGCCATAGTATTCACCAGGATATTCTGCACTCATATGAACATAAGGATTAGTGCATTGTGTCAGAATTTAAAGAAAGAATATTAGTGGCTTATGTATCTTGAATTTTTACAATGTGGTCAAAAACAGAATTGATTATAAGATTGTATAAGGTTGATTTTATTGATTATAGCTAATGCATCAACCTGAAGAAGCATAGATACTTTGTACCTTATTTGCTTATTTATCTGTTTGTTTATGATGTGACAGTCTTAAAACACTCAATCTTAATCATTATTTTATATAGCTCACCTCCATAATAAGAAAAGTGTCCAAGCTCTCCTGGTTCCACTCTCTCTCCCAGGCCTCTCATTCTCCTCGGGTTGCGGAAAAACACGTGTCTCCGAGCGCTTAGAGCGCTCAGCTGTTTCATACGTCTCTCTTTAGACCTCCGATTTTGGAACCAAACCTTTAAGACAGCAGTTCAAAAACAAAGAGCATGAATTATGAAGTGTGGCCAACAGCTTTTTGAAATAAGGGCGACAAATTGCAGTTGGATGATTAGAAATAAATCAACCCAAAATAATGACAAGGTCTTTGTAAATTGGGGTAAGGTTTTAGTTGATGAGAAAAGACACAAAAACATGCAAAATTAACTTTTTAGGTCACTAAAAATATAATTTATAGCATTTTTAAATTAGCATTCAAGATGTATCCGTGCGACATGATTTATTATTATTATTATTAGGGGGCCTTTTAAAATGCCCATGGGCATCATGAGTCCTCTGTGATGTTAGGGACGCACTGGGCGCACAGATTAAGGAAAACCCCAAATGAGAGGCGGGGAAAAAAAGAAAATCAGCAGAGCATATATTGTACGTGGGTGTTTGCAAGCGCCACCAGCCACATTGCTTTGTTGAGTTGCCTACATCAAAGGCTTTATTCTCTGTAACACTAGTGCCTTGGTGATTGTGTTACTGTCACTTTGTGTGAGTCTGTGTATGAATAAAAAAAA